TGCTTGGGACTAGCAATCATCCTCAATGTATAAAAACTGGTGATCTCAAACTAGGCAATACCAGCTCCGGCCGCGCCCGAACACAGGTCAAGAAAGGAAGGGGTAGGAATGTGTTGACGTGACACTCGCTTTGATGGAAGCCGAGAACACCTCTGCACTACCACGAGGAATCACTGGGATGTTGGGTAAAAGGGTTGGGTTGGGTTTGCAGCAGAGTTCGTTTTGGTAAACGATAAGCTGAATTGATGTCCTAACAATCATATAACGCGAAGGAGCTTGGGATTGAACCCACGGTCTTCTGCTCAGTAAGCAAAAACGTTTGCCACTAGGCAGACGAGCTCCTTTTTAATCATCGAGTTGCGGTTATTACCATGTAGTCATGTTATCAAATAAAACGATTGACGAATCATGAATGTGGATGGGCTTGAGATTAGACTCATGATGTTCTGCTCAGTAAGCAAAACCAGTTGTGCTAAGGCCACCGAGCCCCTCATATCACATTATAGCGTTACTCAAGTTTTTATGACTATTCAGACCCGGCACCGACGACAACGAAAAGTTTTACAAAATACACGATAAACAAGCGATCAACCATACATTTTTAATACGAAAAGATCTGGGCCTCGTTTTTCTGCTCATTAAGCAAGCCACTGCAACCGACGATCTTTGAAATCCTTAAACTAAAAGCTACGAAAGAGGCCTTTATTAAGATCCATTTTCACGCGACGTTAAATGTTTCGATTTTCTCTTTACGCATGGTTCAGGTAATCATAACAAGCTATGACCGACGTGACGATTGTTTAAGACCTAGTTGAACAAGCTATTCAAATGAAATTACGCTATCGAATTTTACTTGGCATGTAATGAACAACAGAAATACGCGATAATTCATATTTTCAGCGGTTGGTGGTTAATTTTAAATATACTAACGGTACTGCCTACGACTACGACGGCGATTACGACAGCGACTACGACGGCGCCTACGACAACGACAACAGAGAATTTGTAACTTACCATTTGTCTAGGATAAACACCTTTGCCCGGCACCTCCATTGGTTCTTCATGTCCGCTATCTGTCACTGTTTGCAAAATATCTAATAACAATTACCTTCCAATACCAATACTTCCTGTATTGCCATGGTCATCTGGGAGGAGGGTCGCATCTAATGCTTTCCCCAGGAACCGTTCATGGCCACCAGCTACTGCCCGTCCAGTCATTGAGTCCGACACTCAATGCAAATCGCAGGCACACTTACGCTAGTTACAAAAAAAAACACCCGTGCAAAGAAACGGATCAAATAAACGTCACTCTCGCGAAAGCACACCCGTCGTCGTCGAACGGAAAAAAAGGAATCGGTGGGCAATTTTGTGATACGGATTTCCAAAATCAACCGGAATGCACGAATTTCACCACACCCAACTACAAAACACGTTCAGAAGCACTTTTGGTACACTTTCGTTCGAAACACTTAATTTTTTCAAAATAGTTGCAAGTGAACCAACATCATCACCGCGAAAATAAACTAAAATTAAAATTATCGCTCGGGATGTCACAAATTTCTGGACCGGGAGAAAAAATCAAACAACGCAGGTAGCGTCAATCTTCTGTTGCTAGCAAACATGATGAATCATGTTTTCTTGAAGTTATATGGAAATTACTAAAGAGAAACCATAATTTCGGTTCATATCTATCTCAAAATTCACTGGTTCACTCTACTTTAGAAAATGATAACTGAGCTTGTTGCAAATTTTCTCAGCTACAACTTTGTTCAAGACCACTTTTCGATCAAATGTAAGGAACAAAAATTATTAAGGACTCAAGTCACTCAAGTCTTATGATTATGCTCAATCAACTGTTCAGCAGGCAACATTGGTGTTTATGGCGCGTAGAATAGAGAACAAAAATCATGTCTACTATGTCACACTGCAGAATACAGTGTTGCCCACAATACAGTTGCTTAATTTTGCCATAAGATTATCAATCTCTTAATCAATTAATAACTATTTCATTTGACGTTTGGCTTTGCGCAAAGTTGTAGCTGATAAAAATTCCCATAAGAATAGCATTATAATTTGTTAACAGTACAATATGTAAAAAGGCTAGAAGACAATGAACAAAAAGTTTTGTTTTCCCATAGTAATTTCCATATAAACTTCAAATGGTTTGTGCCAAGTCAGTTTCTCACTAAATGAGTTCCAGTTTTGGGAGGCTAATCAGGGCCCAATTTGGAACCGTTTGAGCACTGTGGAGCGAAAATTTCAAATGTTGCATCAGTCTAGTACTCATGCCCTAGGTGAACATTTCAAGGTTACAGGTATAAAATTTAGTTACTAGTGCAGAATCTTACCTAAGAGCCAAAGATTTAAGTAAATTAAAGGAGAAAAATCTATACGATTCTTTTAATAAGGATAATTCCCAAAGGCTTGGTAGCCATCATAACGAAGTAATGAAATTGGATTTTTGCTGATGGTTTAAGGCTTATGTCTTATCAGCTAGGGTCATGGTCCCCTTAGCCCAACATCCAAGGTACGCCTATGTCAACGACGTGTCTGATTTTGATCTGTTTTGGCTCTCTGGTTGATTTTCACGAGCTCAAATCTCCTCCCGGAAAAGTCACAAATGACCCATGACTGTTAAAATGATTATAATAAAAATAAAAATTAAAAATTAAAAAATTTGCACCAACTCACAGAACACAAAAAAATAGACGATTTCTTTTCTATTGATGATGTTTTGAGAATCATAAAACTTTCGATATTTCAACAAGTAGCTTGAATTGTCTACAGAGAGACAAAAGTTCTAGTCATGTCCTGAAACATTCTTAGCATTCTGAATAACGTTTATAAACTGTAAAAAAAAATGCAACAGGATGTGCCGAATGTGCCTCCAACATTTCAGTCCTAATGCATTAATTGTTCACTAATGTTGAAACAGTTGTGATGTAATAGCCCACAAAAAGATAAAGAACATGCTATACATCCGTCGGAAGGATTTCAAACAATTAAAATAATTGTACACCATCTAAAGCCTGTAATCTTATAGCTTATGATCTAACAAAAAACTTCAACGCTCTTAAAGGTGCACTGATGATGTCCCCTGCCAAAAACTATTAAACAATACCCTCATCCAGCGTCCCAATTTGAAGATAAATGTCCACCAATTCCAGATTCGCACATCACGCATGAGCGATAAATCTGACCTTTGAAACGAAATCGCTGACAGCCAGTGTCAGTGCTCGCAGGAAACATCGTTGTCCATCACCGAAAAGAACACGAACCACATGATTTGTTTTGGGGCCCCAACGTCATGCAACGCACGACATTGTTGATAACTCACAGTCCGTTGCCTCGAAAGTTCAATCGTGAAGAAAGCATATAACCCACATTACTCAGGAGGATTGGGTAACGCCTCCAGTAGATCACCGCACATCTTCTCCCACTGCATAACTCTGGTCACAACACGATGCTCACTAATTACGCCACCAATTAATACCTTTGAGCGCGACTAATTTGAGCCTTCCCGGTTCGGTGGACACGGTGACGTTTCCAACGGTGATTCAAGAACGAATGGACCTAGCAAAGGGCACCCGAAGAGGCACCATAATAAACGATATGGTCAGTTCTTCGGAGCACAGTGAGCTGATCAATTATGAGATATTTTTCGATTGCTTCTGCGGTGGGAAACTTTATCCGGTAAATGTTTGTTTGGATTGATGCTCAGGAGATATTTTCACTTAATTTGCAACTAGCACGCTCGCAGTTTCATCTCGGTTAGGAGGGATGGAAAATGGGAAAAGTATAATGAACTCATATAATCAAAAATTGTGTTATTAATTCTTTGAATCTTCATAATTGATTGTAAGTAAGTTTTTGAGAGATTTTAACCATTATATCACACCAACCGCGATTGATAATGCAATAACAATTTTGGTGTTATGAGGCTTCTGTAGACCAAGATTTTGACTTGTCGAACGTTTTATAACCTCGATAAAACTTACAATGTCACTTGGATTGCTTCCTAAGAATGTTAACAGAAAACGAGACATAACCTTGTGATTAGTTTTCAATGCAAAACATTGTCTTTGAAAAATTATCGTTACCTGTTAGGGAACATTAATAAATGGCGTAGCATTTTAGGTGGGGGAGAGGATTTCAGAAGTTGTGACCGACCATGTATTAGGTATAGCACAATACCGCGTACTCCTGAGTCATCGTGTAATAAATAAAGTTTTTCACAATTTATTAACTTTCTAAAGACCTACTTACTAACCACCGCCGACGACCGACGGAGAACCCTTGCCTTCCTGACCATCATCCGGTTGAAGAAGAACGTGCTCTGCCTTTTTAACCCATTCAGGTGTATGAGTACGCCGGTACCGTTTCTTACTCTTCGATCCAAGTTACTCCTTGTGTTATGACGACTACCTAACCACGTCACTTGGATGCTCTTTGACTGGGATGCCACTACCACGCCACTTTAGTTTTGTTTCCTTTGAGGCCCCGAGCCGCTACCGGCGCGAAGCGATTTACTAACTAATAATAATCGCACGAGATAGTTTCATCTTCTCTCTCTCTCTCTCTCTCTCTCTGTGTGTTTCGGAGCGATTTTCAAGCCCTGGCAAACGGGTGGAAGGCGAGGGTGTACTAGTACTCTCACCTGATGGGCAGGCAGGTAGTGCACACGGTTGTTCTTAGCGGCCTCTGATGCATCTGTGTGCACGGGGCGGGGAGGATTTTTCCCAGAGGTTTTGCTTGTGTGTGGGCATCGCTACCAGTCAGTGTGGATATTGTCTACCCGTACAGTCGACGTATTAATAATAATCTGTAGTTATTTTTTTTTTTGCTTCATATTTTAATTCTGCCACCGAGCTAGGCTACTTTTGCTCTCTACTGAGGCAACGATTTCGAATTGACGGCGACGAAGGAGTCGTCGTTTGAGAATCGTTGAAGAGGGTATATATTACGACCGGTGGTCCTAATAATCATATCATATTGTTTTGCGCCTTCCAGTGATCAAGATCTAGCCGGAGCTGTTTCGCCTTCTACTGAGTCCTGACAGGAGCACTTGAAGTCAAGAAAATAATTGTATTTTTGAACAAGTTTCAAACAACCGTAAAAAAGTGAAAATGAAATACGTAAGTGTCAAAATAAGTGGTTTGATTTGTTAAGAAGAAAGATAAGAAAAAAGTGAATAAGGACTGTTTTAAACTTTATGCTAGTGATATTAGAGGCAACAGAGCTTTTATTCTTTGAGAGATCTACAAAATTTGTGAATTATCGTCTTGCATTAAGCCGAAATATGGTATTTGCAAATCGCAATTAATTAAAGTCATTAAATTTAACCTCTGTGTGATACAAAAAGAACGTTTATTTGATTAGGCAAGGATATTTGACGGAGGTGGAAACCTTAAAAGTTAACAACGAACTTTAAATATAAAACCAAAACATTCTATCAGGACTTAACATAAACTATAGCAGTCATGAGTGCATTTTAAATCCATGTATTTAAAAATTAAATGCAAATCAGTCGTTTGATCCAATAACTTGAAACTGGTCGACTGTGGATTGATCTGAGTTGGGATTGTCATTTCCATTTAAACTAGGGATGGCCCCGGCGTAGTAGTTAACATCCATACCTCGCACGCCAACGTCACGAGTTCAAATCTCATCCCTAGACAAGTCAAGAATAACTCAAGATTGTTATAGAGACTACAATAATAATAATAATAAAATCCAGTTAAGCAACACCAAAATACTGCTACTTCAGCTACTTCACAATCAAGCTTTACAGAACTTCACTCATCGGTTAAACAACAAGAATTGAGACTCTTAAGAAGTCCTATACAAACCGAAACGTCAGATATAAACAAAATATTTTGATTATACTACAACTTAACAATCATTCCTCTCGTGATCAATTGCACAGCTGTTTTTACTACAGTTATACAAATTCAACTGAAGCGATACTGAATTAATTTAAAATTTAAATTGCTATCGAAACAAATTTAGTATGATATTTCAGATATTTGATAAAAGTTTTTAAATCGAGTATCCGGTTGCTGACAAATGAAAATCATGGTTTTTTTTTTTTCTACTGACAGCTTAATAGACTGTACACAAATTGGAATTAATATAACCCAGCATCAAACTTTCCAAATTTGCCTTCAAATTGGTCCAAATTATCAACAAACCTACTTGAACGTGTAACACATATAATATTTGAAAATTTATTGAAAAGTTGCAATTAACCGATGGCAATCGCTTCTGCCTGTAGCCACATTTAGACAACTTGTCAGCAATCAAAATTGGTCTTCTTAGTGAGAAAAACAAGCGATGATACTGATATTTGACCATGCATCGGAACTCTGGCACGAAGCTCTTCTTGTTGACGATTGTGAACCTAGGTTTTGAGATTGGATACAAGAAAAGGTTCGGACCAGGTTTCCGATGCATGGTCAAATACCAGTATCATCGCTTGTTTTTCTCACTCAGAAGACCTATTTTGATTGCTGAGAAGTTGCATATTTGAAGAGATTCCAGAATTTTTCAAATGATACGGAACATCACAATTGAATTAGCTTTGCGCAGTGGTGATATCGTAACCCATGAGGTACAACCAAGGTGCGATTATTGCTACTTGAAAACTAATTACAATTAATTATATGATTTGAGTAGTAGCTATACTGAAGTTCCGAGAGATGTCGCCCCTTCAGTGGTAAGAAAATCATTTTTGCAGTATGGAGAAAATCCACAATTTGTGATTAAACATGCTTTCACAGAAGGAAACAAATAAACGAGTGTTTACCTTATCACCATAGGAATGTACTCGTGCAATTTTTGTGCATCTAAAACTGCCCATAAAGACGATAATGAATAAAAACTGAAAATGTTCATGCATTTCCAAATAGTTTCCTACCATTCCCATACATTCGAAGTGACTGGCCCTCTGGATGTGGATGATGTCAAAAACAACAAAACATGATCAATTGAATGAAATTTCATGTAAAACCCATTTTGATTGATGAGAGAGCGTGTTTTTGGAGAAATCCCAGAACTCTTCAAATGATACGGAATATCACAATTGAATGGGGATTCATGTAAGACCCATTTTGATTGATGAGATGGCACGTCTTTGGAAAGGTCCTAGAACGCTTCGAATATTGCGGAACATCATAATTGAATGAAACTTCTTGTGAGAAGAGCAAGTATTTATGAGTTAACATTGAACGGGGTTCATCTTTATTATGAAATCCTAGTAATCCTATGACCATCAGGAAAGCAAGCTTCAGTTATCCTTATTTGCTGTTCTGTTTTAATTCTGCGAATCATTTCGGATCGTTCCATTTCACTTTACTCAACCTTAATAGTGTTCTTCCACGGTATTTGCTTTTATTGAAATTTTGCTCTTCAAACATATGTTTTTGCAGTTTTGGTTTCATTACCTTAGCAGAAGATCAAACTCGTTTTGTTATCAACAGGAAAAATGTACATCAAATTCAGATTTCATTTTGCTCTCGCTGATAGCAGAAATATATTTCAATGTGATGTCACAGGAAGATTTTGAATTCTCAATTTTGACATTTTAACCGTTAAAACGTCAGCAACCTGAGTAATCATTATCAATTACTTCACAACATCAAATTTAGCTTTTAATTTCATCTCAGATTTTGCTCAGTTTGGCTCTACAGTATTCGTCTTTGCCAGTCTGTATTTACTATACCACTTGTAAAGTCCGGGATGTGCTTAGTAGGCCGAAAAATAGAGCTAAACCCTATAGCAAAGACATCATATCAGCAAGACTATCAACTCTCTCGTTTTTCCAAACAAACGCTAAGAGACAATCACAATCTCGCCATCTGCCACTGAAAGGTTTCTAAGCGGTGGTGTCTCTTTGGCAACTGAATTTGTTACTTCAATTCAGACAGAATTTTTTCAATGCAGCCGTTAGTTATGAAATTGGAAATCCATTAAGTGTTTATGGAGAATGGAAAAACATTGTAATGGATGTAATGTCGGTCTAAATGCCCCTAGTTTGGGCCCATACATAAATTCAGCAATCGACTAGATTGTCAATAGCGACCAAAAATATCCATTAGTACCGTCCCAATGACGCGATCATCTACATAACATTGATTAATAGCAGATTTTCAGCGATGGACCCAATCTTAGATCCATAGACCAATATTAGAGCCATTTCCGCTATTTGTATTCTTTGATTTTTTTTTCATGTGCAACTTTTCAATTTTGTATTGCTTATTTTCATAATTTCGTGGGATATAAAGAAATCATAGATCGTAACTTTTGAATTATAAATTGTAAATTTCTAGCAATGTACAACCATTTTAACTTCATCCGTGTAAACAGCGAGGGTGGCCTAGTGGTACGCAAGATTGCCTCTCACCTCAGAAGGCCTGGGTTCAATCCCAGTCAGTGCCGCCGGAATTTTCTGAGGCATACAATCTCTGATCACGCCTTCCTTCGGAAGAGAAGCAAAGCCGTTGGTCCCCGGCTCATGATGGGTCGATAGGTAGGGTCCAGGTGTGGGAGCTACCTTCCTAGCGTCGGTAGCATTGGTACTCAGTACGGAAAACAAGATCGACGGAAAACACATCAAGGAAAAAAAACTTCATCCACTGCCCCTCAACATGCTTTCGATTAGAAGTATTGTTCTCTAGTTATGATTTATTGAAATATTTCGAATACACCATTTTGAAGTTTTTTTTATGCGATAGTCAAAATGGCCAAACTTTAGCTGAAATGTGAATGGTTAACCATAACAAACAATTAAACAAACCTTAATGCAAATTGGGGAACGTCGTATCAGATCGATTCGTCATTTGGCGAGGAAGAGCGCTATATGAAATACACTTCTCTTCTTATCTCAAAAATTTTCCCAGCTTCCATGCCTTGTATATGTTCACAAGTCATTCATATAGAAATTAGAAGCAGTAAAACCATAACTCAGCGCAAAGAGTATCATCTCTAGAACTATGAAAAATGTCTACACACTTAGAAAAAATCATGTAAATTTAGGTGCTCTGAGCAGGCATGAAAAATCATTTGCATTCATTTCATACATTCATTTCATACATTCATTTGCCTCTAACTTTTTTCATCAACAGCATTCCGCAAAATAATGTATAGAGCTTTTGTAGGTTTTGTTATTAACTACAACTTTTGTTCATAACTCAAATCTGTATCTGTATACATACACTGAAAAACAGTAGTGGCTTCTGTTCGCTCTGGTTCGTCATGCATCAGAGATTTGGATTTGACTTGTTAACAAAAGTTGTAGCTAGTAACAAAACCTACAAAAGCTATATACATCATTTTGCGGTATTCTGTTGATGAAAAAAGTTAGAGGCAAATGAATGTAAATGAATGCACGAAATGAATGCACGAAATGAATGCAAATGATTTTCCATGCCTGGCTCTGAGACTGACATATACGAGCGTCAATTTTGACATAAAATTGAGTCATAATAGACGCAAAATACAGCTCAATCAAACTTTCTTTTCGTCGAGTACCGAACTTTACAGTCTCGGATCACTTGATTTTACAGGACATGTTTGTTTACGTCTCATTCTTTATGTCAAAGATGGATTCCGTCACGTGTAACATTAGGTATTTCTAAGAGCGTAGGATACAAAATTATTTGACCAATATTGACCATTATTCGCAGCCTTTCTACGTAGTTTAAGGACATAATTCGAAGGAAATCTGATACTGAGGATAGTTTGATAGAAGTTCTAAAAATAATTCCAAATCTGATGATAGTTTCAAGTGAATTACGAGGAATATTCTACGGGAATTCTAAGGAAAAGATCAATGAACGTCATGGAGCATTCTAATGGAATTTTTTAGGAGAATTTCGCGGAATTTTGCGATAATACATAGGACAAGCTAAAAAGAATCCCTAGAAGAATTTCAATGAATCTCTGAGGACATTCCAGGGAAATTGTGCGCTTTCTAGGGTATTTAAAAGGGAATTTCTAGATAATACTGAGTACAGTTCCACGGCAATTCAACGGAGGATTATATGGTTATTCTGAAGGGTATACTATGAAAACTCTGAGGAATATTCTAAGTAAATTATAAAGACATTTTGAATAAAAATTGAGGAATAACTCATAAGGAATTCAAAAGAAATATCCATAGAAAACCTGTGAGAGTTCCAACGAAAAGTTTAAGGAACAATTGTTAAATCCCGCCTTAAACACATTTTAAGATTGGGATTTAAAGCAAATCAAACATATATGTTCTGTAATAGAATCCTCAAGATCTCAGGCAATTTTCACTCATGGACATTGTAACATTTTTGAAAAATCTTAATCATAAAATGTATTATTCCAAACATGCAGAAATATTAAAAGAACAAAGAAACCCTCTTTCAGCCAAGGATGTAGCAACTTCGGGAATCCAAAATGTTAAAATGGACAATTTCAAATTAAATGCAATACTAAACTAAAGCTTTTGCATTGGACAGGATTATTTTAGGATCTCTTGAAATTACTAGCCTTCTTCCTACTTCCCTGCGCTGCTCTTGCCCAAAAACTGGCGATTTGTTGCAACCTGTACCTGAGTAGACCCTATAGAAAAATAATAATAAACTTTACAACTATAGTCCAAGGTATTTCAAGATAACGTAATCTACAACTTTGTAGAAGGTTTCATCATGATATTATCCAAAATGAAAAGTTACATTTTTATTTTTGATATTTTGAGGACCACCCTATTTGCAACTTTCATGATTTTTTTTTCTTATTGGAGACACTTTACATTTAGTGAATCATGTCAAAATAAAGGCCTTATTATAAGCAACAACTTCCCAAAAGACACTATGCTGATAAAGTTGCAATTTCTGGGTCAAAATATTTGTTTCCTGTTAATTTTAATTCCTGGATCAAAGTGCAGTGGCTCCAAAATCGAACCCAATATCAATCTCACAGTATGAAAAAAAAAAAAAAAACGAGCAGAAGAATTGCAATCGATGTGTACGGAAATCATTCACATTCTTCTTGAAACGTGAACTAATGATATGTAAGCATTTTCTCAAGATAAATCCCAAGTAATAACTTTGGTTTTATGAGGGTTCTGTAGACCATAATTTAGACTTGTAGCATGCTTTAAAATCACTATAAAAACTAGCAATGTTACTTGGGATAGGACCTAATAAGTTAAATGTAATAAGCAAACAATCATTTACCTTCATCGTCATAAAATGAAGTGTTTAATCATGAATTGCATCATTATGTTCAATATATCAATCGATATTTTTTTTTAAATGAAGAGGCCGAAAAGTAAAATGTTCACATAGGATAGGGAACGGATTAAGAAATGGGAGACCCTGTTCTCAAGAAAATTAAGCGAGAACTCTTCCATGATAGGCTCTACTGGAGTACCTTCCTGTCATGATGACGATGATGATAATGATGAAGATGATGATGATGATGATGATGATGATGATGATGATGATGATGATAATGATGATAATGATCATGATGATGATGATGATGATGATGTATTGTTTTGTTACATTGTGGAAAATAGTGAAAACTGTAAATCTGATGCGCCATTTATCAAAAATGAACGTTCTAATAGCCAATGAAAATAATTTCAGTTAGTCCTAGTCCCAGTAATAATATGATCAACAAATTGTCTCCGGGATTAATTATGATCATTTCTGTGTATTCCATAAAATATCAGCACCCAATCGCCCATGTGCATCAAACTTCCAGTTGAAAGTTTTATAATTAATCTCGCAACAACATGCTCTTACCCTCATACCGGCAGCAGACACACTAATCGTCTAGCCCAGGTATAAACTCATTCCTGAAAAAGCATACCACAATCTGCAATCTAATTGCAAATCTCGGTCAGCGCAAATTACGACTCCCGTGACACTAATCGTTCCCAATACGATCGAACTTTGATCGTGTGCATCAGCTCTGCCCGTACACGCGTCTTCTCCGGGTAAGGGCCCCATTCACGTCGATAAAATCTAACAATTTATTGAATATTCATTGCAAAACTGCCTTCTGGGTGACTCTTCGGCTGCCATTCCACTCGCGCTTGAATTATTGTGATTGGACCAAACATTTGAATGAAGCAATTATATTTTCCTTGCAGGTGATCGTGCTCGTTGCTGCCATCGCTGCTGCCTCTGCTCAGATTCGCCCTCTACCGATTCGACCAGTCCCATTCGGTGGCCCCGAAGCAGGAGCAGTTATCCTGAACCAAGTGTACGAGCCCAACCCAGACGGCTCGTACATCTACAGCTATGAAACCAGCAACGGAATCCGTGCCGATCAGCGTGGCTTCCTGAAGAACCCCGGAACCCCAGGAGAGGCCCAGGTCATGCAGGGATCCTACTCGTACACCGGTCCGGACGGCGTGGTCTACACCATTAACTACATCGCCGACGAGAATGGCTACCGTGCGGAAGGCGCTCACATTCCATCCGCCCCGCGGTACAACCCAGCCCCACGCTTCCCAGCTCCATTCCAGTAAGCGAATCAAAGCAGGACGGCCTTCCAAGCGCCAGTTACTTAGTTATGATATTTATTTGTAAAGTGCGACTAAGCAAGCAAAAGTTCACTTTGCTCTCTACTTCTGCTTATGTACCTACCTACAACAAAATCAACAATATTTCCGTTAGTGCAAAAACAATTTCCAACAGCGCTAAGGCGCGTACCGTACTCATCATCCGTCGGTCTGTGAATAGTTTAGTGTGCTTGCTTCGTTTATCGAAATCATTCTATCTCAACGTAATATTTCATTCATTCCGCTGCTCACCTTCGTCGACTATTCGCTCTCTATGGGAAAACTATACAATCCCAAGCTGCAAACAATTACTCCTCCTTCCGAGACGCGCGATCTCGCGGATGCCCGCCCGCGACACGATGAAGACGCAATCGCAAGACCAACCTTCCCACCCTACCCCATTTCAATTCCAGCCAGTGGTTTCGTATTCTAGATCCCGCACTCGGAGCTCTCTGCCATTTTCCTTTCGCAACACCACTCAAACTCACATGTTTGCTTCTATCATTCTGCTAATATAATTTATTTCCCGTCCGTACTGCCCACTGCACAAAAACACCGTGAACTTCTCCTCATTCTTGATTTGTACTGTAAATAAATATAAATAACAGCTCATAATGATAATTGTAATTATACTCTTTACAAGCGATTATTCGTAAGTTGTGTATACAAGCCCCCCGTTAGAACGGCAATTTTGTAATCTTTGTTGTGTGAAATAAAAGCCCGCAATCGCCTGTCAAGAAGAGGCGCCTTTCATAACAAAAAGTAGTTCTATGCGAATGACATAGAAACCTTTCCTCCCTGGATCGCATCGCCCAGAACTGACCTTTTGAAGAAGACCCATTATTTTCCACCCACCCACAATGTCACAACGCTGCACCGTTTGCCGACTGGCTTACAAATGTAGGGAAGAAGCCGGTGTAAACAAATAATCGGGTGAACTTCCAACCTGCGAAGGGGGAAAGGTCGAACAGCAACTTGTACCTAGCACAAAAAGAGGCACAATATTAGAACGAGAGGCCATAAATCATAACAAAATTGAGACCACCACCAGCACCACAGCGACCGCATGGTGCCCGGAGAGGTGATACAGGTCGAACCGAGTGGTTGCCGGTGAATCGTATTTCAAGTGATGGAACATTTGGGAAACCGCTATAGGACTATATTGCATTTAGGAATCATCTAGGCGTGAGATAATTTCTTCAGTCAGTAATTGAGATTAACTGTTAATCTATCTATGCTTTCTGCTGTAGGTGACTCGAAACTCGTGAATCAATAAGAAATAATGGAAAAACTACGACTACGACTACGAAGTTGTTCATGAGCCTGCGGCTAGTATCATGGCAGATGCTTCATATCGCTTATCTGTTTCCGAAGTGAAGCCTTTTGATGATTTCGCTGAACCAAACAAACGTTCTGGAAGCGATGACCTTGCAAAATGTAGGAGAGACTACTATGAGCGGTCTTAAGGGGAAGCTCACTGCTCCGAAAAAAATAATTACGTTTTGATTTTTCTAAAAATATTGGAAAAAGATATCAAAATTTTAAGAAAATCACATTTTTTTTTATTTTTCAAAGAAAATTCACGTGCAAAAACATTTTTTATAAGTCATTATGGCATAAAGTTGGACTCAAAAAACCACAAAACATCGACTTTTCGGTTTTGCTGAGAGTCCAATTTTTTTTTTCATGATGAGATAGAAAAAATTTTACATGTAATTTTTGACAAAAATCTAAGGAACAAACTGTTTTTCTTTGATTTTTGATATTTTTTCCCAATATTTTTAAAGAAATAAAAATGTACCGAAAATATTTTTTTATTTTCGGGCTGGCAAGCTTCCCCTTAAAAGCTCCTAGAAGCGCTGGGAACGGCTTAAAGTCGTATTGTTGGCGCACATCGAAGACGTAGAGGAGGACAGGCCATAATGCACTCCCGATCTGCTCGGTTTTCCATTGCTTTCCCATTATTAAGCCTGGGAGTTTATGTATTGAGCTTAGCAATGCTGCGATCGGAAAGCTATGAAGGACTGATCCGCCATTCTGGAGACCTGAAAAAAGTAGGAAAATTGAGTTAAAACTTACCTGCCTGAGAGGTGTTGTGAAACATTCTCGGCTTAGACGAAATTCTGCTGCTGGTCTCGACATTATGGTCCTTCGAGCCCGATTGCGTCGAATTTCCGCTAGTCCGACAGTCCAGCGCCTGGTGAGTCGCCATCGCACATCCGCCATTTCGTCCTAAGGAGATTTGGCCCAGAATATGCCATAGTTCCCGGCTGAATAACTCGCTACGTAACACCATCTTCCTGATTAGCAAATTAATTGCCTCAATCAGACCCATCTTCAGCACTCTACGACTTCCACTGTTTCAACTAATTTCATCCGTGAGGGAGATTTATATTGTAATTCCGGTTGAATTCCGCAAAATTCAAGGCAATTCATTGCCTCTAGCAGGTAATTATCTATCTTATCTATCCAACTTCTTTCATTCAGTCTTCGTGCGTGCTACGCTGCACGCTATGTCTGAAAGCACTTTTTTGCAACATTTATGTACCTCAGATTTTCCTTGACAGGATATTAGTATTGATCCTAACAATCAAATCTGTAATGGTTTTAAAATATTTCATCTTGGGTTTTTTGAGAAAAAGTGTTTTGAAGTTTACAAAGCCGATTATGAAGGCATATATGGACTATTGACGATACAAAACTACATATTACGAATTGAACAAATGCAGTTAAACAAGGTTCAAATGATGATTGCATTAATCTAAATGGCATTAAAGAGTTCTCTTTGACTCTCAAGTAAGATCCGTATTGATTATGTCGACTTTGACCACAACAATTAATATTTTTTTGCTAGAACAACTTCTTAATCACTTTCTCTTCCCTCATAAGATTAATAGAGAAACAAACGAGCAGGACAGTCTGAGGCAGCCACGTAATCGTAGTAGGCATTGATTTTCGTCCTGTTTCAAGTGTTTTTGTTTTTATTGGAGGCATCGTGTAGAAAATCTGGAAAAAAAAATAAAAAAAACTGCATGAAGAAAATAGAGAGTTCGCTTGTTGTGCTTCAAACAAGTGACTCTGTAATAACAATTCAAGCCACTTTAGTAGCGACGATCGTTGAAAGATTTTTAATTGGAGTTCAATAAAGGAGATAGTAGGTATCCGAAATTTTTGTGTCCCGTACTCAGCAGGTGGTGAAGTTAAATTAGCTCGGATTTAAAAAAAATAAATATAGATGTTTGGCTTAATGGCGAGATCGAAAATAAATTCTGGCACCCATGACGAATTGGTTTGAAAATCGTCTTTTCGATAATACAGGAATGAAACTCACATGAGGTTAGCTACGTTTGCCCAGTGAGTTTAGGTAGTCCTAACCTTGAATTACAACAGAATTGCTAAAGCTTCATTGCAATTCCCATATTTTGAATAAGGAAACATTCAGGAAGGTTCACTGGTAAAATAGTGAGAATTTGTTGCAATATCTCTTTCTCTTTTACGCTTCCTTTATGAAATGTGATCGAGGGCATGAGCAGGGTGGAAGGGCGTAAAAATGAGAGTTTATCACCTAAAAAAATCGTGAGTACGGCTCACGCATGTTACATTGCCGTTTACTGGTATAAAAAAGGAAGCAGTTTATGAAAATTGAGTCTCACAAATATCCAGAAGAAAGATGTTAACAAGAAGTTCAAACCAAACTCGACAGTCAAAGTTGTGCGGGTGTGTAGATATTTGTAAGAAAAAACACCACAGGAAAAAATGAATTCATAAAAAATTTCAAATTATGTCGGACGCAGGTTTCTCCTGAGAAACGTCATGCATAAAGTGAAAACCGGAAACTTCAGAATCTCTCCAAATTGGCAGATGAAAGTAAGCATCACTTTGTTGCCAAAAGCATTAGATAGTTAGCAGGTAAAAAACTAGCCTAGGTTAGTTTTTCAAACGTAGCAGAAAGACCAATGGGCTTAAATTTGAAACAGTCAGGAAAAAAAAAATCTAAGATTTACTCAGCTTTAAGAAAGATCTTAATCTGATTGTTAATAAGGTTAGTATGTAACAGTTATCTTCATAACTTTATATTTTACATGACTTTATACTATACTTTTGTTATATTTCAGACACTAAAATTGGCTAAATGTATGAGATATACCGGCCGTCAAACTATCCAGCCCGGCCTCAAATCAGTTATGAGGAAAGACAACGCGGCCAAGAATGATCCCAATAACGCAATATGGTGGCTGCCACAAATGCGACTCAGCATACGGAATTTGGTTTCGCTGGTCGCCATTGTAGGTGCTTGATAAACGCCATTGTCTGATTGATAATCGTGCAGTTTTTCAAGGATGAAATTTTAATCATCAGCTAATGAAAAACAACACATCGCTGATTTTTCGATATGTTGTGTAAAAAAGCCTAAATTTTTTTAGAAAAATATAAAAACACCCTCTATCTAAAAACCATGAAAACCATAATAAACGAATACAATCAATGTTTTCAAATATATAATCGCTATTTTTTAATATCTTTATTTATTACAAGTACTTTTAATAACCTTTCATTTGATATTTTGATCTTTGAAATTGGCCCAGTTGTTCAAAAGTTATAAATTTTTGAAAAACAGTCATTTTTGAAAAAAATAAAAAAAAACAAACGATTTTTTGGACTACCCTAACGTTGAAATAGTCACCCTAATGCAAAATAAATAAAAATATTTTTAAAACCACCATTTCTTACCCAATTCTGAGAACCACTCTATCGTTTTGCAATGGAATGGCTCAATAATAGTAAATTTAAACATTCTGACATTGTTTCGATATCTGACGGTACCGAATAGCGAATCTTACTGTATCATTGAAACTTAGTGTTTTGACAACTTTAATCCCCTTTTGAATCATTTTTAGCTGAATTTGTTTCGATCCGTAACAGTTTTGTATAATCAATAGTCCGTATAAGCCTTTGTTAACAGCTAAGTAAACTTCAAAACACTTTTTCTTCAAAACCTTCGCAGATTTGATTGTTAGGATCAATACTAACTTTCTGTGAAGATAAAACTGAGGTAGGGTAAATTATGGCTTCGGCACCCATTCACTGTTTTCGGCAACCGAAATTGAAACGTTAATTTCACTGTATTTTCCCATCAAAACTCTTCGCTGAATGTATTAAACCGATTCCTTACCTTTTCAGCTTCAATCTGATTACATTTTTACGACTGTGCAATCCTGTTATGCCATATTTTTCTTTAAATTAAATATACACACTACAAAATACGGCTGATTTCGAGTTGCCGATAATAGAACAGCTGGTTAACACGCAGTTCAAATGGAAAGGGTGCCGAAGAAAAAGAGACTGCCGATAATAGTCTCACTCTCACCTGAGAAGTTTGGAGCGTTGTAAAAACATGTTCAACCCGTTTTGATCAATTCTGTCGATTGGAATTGGTAGAACAGCAAGCAGCAGATAAATTTCAACACACAAACCTGTCATGTATGTGTGTGACGCTGAGAAATCGCTAATAGAAGTTCGGACGCTGCTTAGACTGACGAGAATACGTAAATTCCCCTACATGAAAGTTGCAAAAAAAGTGCCTTCAGACATAGCGTGCGCTGGTCCATTGTTCCCAGATTTGCTGCAATGTTGACCTAGCGCCGCATCAAGTCACTTAAACTGCAACCCGCATGTTTGGTGACGTCGTTAAACCTCATCAAACCGTTCCTCGATCACTTCGACGAAGAAAC